AAAAATTCTGCCAAAGGTCCCAAAAGACCTGGGGATCATTTTCCAGAATCCGGATCAGTCTGTACAAGTCTGGATAAGGTCTGGATACATCTGGATGAAGTCTGTAAAACTCTGGATAAGTCTGGATATTGTCGGGAAATCTCTTGAAACGTCTGGAAAAGGCCTGGAAACTTTTTGAAAGGGTCGGAAAAATTCTGGAAAAGGTCCCAAAAGACCTGGGAATCATTTTCTAGAATTCGGAGCAGTCTGGATAAGGGCTGGATAAATCTGGATGAAGTCTGTAAAACTCTGGATAAGTCTGGAGATTGTCGGGAAATCTCTTGAAACGTCTGGAAAAGGCCTGGAAAATTCTTGAAAGGGTCGGAAAAATTCTGGAAAAGGTCCCAAAAGACCTGGGGATCATTTTCCAGAATCTGGATCAGTCTGTACAAGTCTGGATAAATCTGGATGAAATCTGGAAAACTCTGGAAAGCTCTGAATAAGTCTGGATAATGTCTGCAAAAGTCTGGAAATCTCTAGTACGAATTCAGGAATGACACACTCAGTGTGAGTGTGATACCGGTGCGGTTCGACGCACTAGCCGTTCATAAATGATTAATGGTGCGCGCACTCTGTGCCGTTCAGAAAATACTTCGGGCACACTCCAGGTGTCGCACCGGTCACACCATAATTTTTTGATTGTGTCTTTATGTCAACAATGTCAACCATTCCTCCCATAATCTCGATAATCCCACAAAATATAAACAAAATACAAATAAGAATTAAAGTTTTTTCTTCAAAATAAAAAAATGAACAACAAAATAACACATCGAACTAAAAAGTGAAAAATAAATATAGTTTAAAAAAACTAAAAAACACGCTTTTATAGTAAATTGAACTAAAAAGTGAAAAATAATTTTTAGTATAAACAGAAAATATTAATGAACAAAAAATATTAGAATTATTGTGAAAAAAGCGTGGGGTGCTCAATGTACGAGAAATGTGGAAAAAAGCACCCCACGCTTTTTTCACAATAATTCTAATTTATTTTTTTTTTGTTCATTAATATTTTCTGTTTATATTAAAAATTATTCTTCTACAGGTCGATTGAAAGGATGCAAATACACTCAGTGCGCATTGAATCTACCAATCAGAAACGCATTATATTATTTTGGGCATACATCATCCATGTTAGGCCCGTATTAGGTACATCTGTGTATTTTTCCGTGAATTTTTTATGTAGTTCAGGGTGACAACCGAAAAACTTCAAACGCAACATAAATCAGCATTATGATACACAGATGTAGGTAATACGGGCTTTAATTGACTCACATACCGTATATGTCTTGGGAAATCGTTTCTATTCGACGTTCAATCCAATCCATGTTCATCCAGTTGTTTATTGTTTATTACCAATAATATTAACTGAAGACATGGACATGATCAGAGCTGTAGCGATATGACTACCTCTAGGGGGGGGAGACTGAGATCCGGCGCCCCCCAAGCACCGCAAAGCCAATTTTTTTTGCAACTTAGACAGACTTTAAAACCTAAACGGTTAATTTTAGACAAGAGCAAAACCGAGCTGAAATTCTTATCTTAGATTTTCATAAATTATCATTTGATACCATATTGATACCAACTTTGATTTCAATCCATGATTGAAAATTCCTTACAGCCAGGCAAAGTTGCAAAAAAGTCAGTTTTCAATTATTAATATTTCCAAAATAGTTGAACTTAGATATAGGAATGTGTATAGGGTTTATCACAGGAGATTTGCTCAGAATTTTACCACAGCATATACAAAAGCAAACAGCAGGTTAACTCCCAGGCGCATCTCTTCTGCGCACGCCGCATTTTGAGGATACAGCCTAACACGGCTACGGCAAAAGCACAACATTTAACGCGCATCTTTTCTGCGCACGCCACCATTTGAGGATACAGAGCTCGAGTTAGTCAGCTGATTGTTTTTGTATAATATGCTGTGATGCTGTGATTTTACGTCGAATCCGTATATTCAATTATATACAGGGTATTCCATTTAAAATAAGTTGGACCACAACCAGCTTTTCTGAAACACCCTTTATATGCGAAAGTAAGTTTAAAAAAAAAATTGTTTCAACTACAAAACCAAAACTCTCTTTCTAAAATGTCAAAAAAAAAGATAGAGGGAACATTTATAAACAATAGATAGAGACGAAAGGGGGAAGATAAGTGGGGCGTAACCTAAGAATATTAAAACACCAAGGAAATGAACCAATAATTTTTTTTTTTTTAATAATCACGCCTCTCCACATCCATCATTTCGCAATGTTGCCGGATTTTTTTTAATTTCAAAATACTACACATGCCCATATAGCAAAAAAAAAATATGTCATCAACTTGTTTATTACTTTTTCCTCCAAGTTTGGCAAAGCAGCAAATTCTATTGCAGTTCGCCGTTCGGCTAGCCAGACAATACGTTACAATGTCACTTACATCACTGAAAGCTGAGTCGGTGGCTGGGTTTGGTAATTGCATCGGCGAGCAAAAGGAACGAATTTTGACGGACGTCACGTGATCACTTATCCACCACTTATCTTTTTTCACGTGTCAAATCACGTGACTTCTGTCAAATTTTGCTCATTTTGCTTGCAGACACAATTCCCATTGCCAAATTAACCGGTGATTCACCGAGTTTCCGTTGCTCCGTTTTGATGGAACTTTTAACTAGGGCGTGTTCACAATAGAAATATGGAACTCTTGACTAAAGCGTGTTCACAATAACCGGCGGGGCGTGTTCACATTATGATAGTTGTAAAATAGTATTTAATTACCTACTCAGAAACTTGCCTTTTGACAATTTTTTTTTTCTTTTTATTTTTTTTCGCTTTGCCTATTTTGGCGCCCCTGTGTCAGCTGCGCCCTGGGGGGAGGCTCCCCCGTCTCCCCCGCTATTGGCTACGCCCCTGGACATGATACCACGAACAGATTTTTCGATGTATTCCATATTTTTCTGAATGGCTTTCAAATCTTGTAATAATGTTTTGATCTGCTTTATCATAGTATAGCTATAGCAGGTAGGTAGGTAGTGCATAGTGACCATAGGCGCCGACTCCATGGGTGCTACTGAATATATTATGGGTGCGGAGCACCCATGAGAAAAATTTTAAATGTATAATTTTCTCAGTTCAGGATATGAAAAAATCAACAAAAACCAAAAAAACATGTATGTACAGCGCCGTACACGTGGTAGAAGTGAAACTTCTTAAAAACTATCCCCGCGTCACACAACTTTTAGACTTAGCGTGATGAATCGGGGTATAAAGACGAAGGAAAACGCGCACTTGTAGTGACGTCACGAGAGTATCAGCGTTTGACAATAATAGTTTATAATCTTTGTTTTGTGTCAATCGTTCGTCGGCTGTCATTGCCTGTCTTTCTCCGTTCCTCTGCGTTATTTTTCTTCTCTCTCGTAACGGAATTTGCCAAAACTTGACGCGTCTTTCAAATCACTCTCCATTTTCGTCCAAATATCAGAGCCGCCTAAGAAGTTTCACTCCAAAAAGCACAGGACATAGATGTATGAACGACGAAAATAATCACAGAACCCAATGATAATACTATAACAAAAAGGAGACGAGCATTTGTAGTGACGTCACAAGGGTATCGGCGCTTGTCAATAATAGGCAATTCTCTTTGAACTTATAATCCTTGGATTGTGTCAATCAGTAGCTGTCTTTCTCCGTCTCTTTACGTTATATCTTTCTCCTCCCTCAAGTAACGAAATTTGCCCATGACGCGTTTTTCAAATCACTCTCCATTGTCGTCCAAATATCAGACCGCCGACTGAAAGTTTTACATCAAAAAACCGCTGACGTAAGCAGTGCTACACAATAAAGCTTTTCAGAAACGCTGATCCGATTAACCCAATACCCAATCAACAATGAACGCTATTGAAAAAAGACAATTTTAAACCGAATTTTCGCGACGAATTTAGTTCATCCAAGGACGAACTATAGTTCGTCTGTGACGTCATGAGTTTGAACGCTGGCTAAAAGCTGCGGCCATGCTTCCGTCGAACTACGTTCAAAATGACGTCATCAGTTTCTCGCCAAAGCGTTTGTATTCATGAAATCATGCACAACCTGTGTAGTGTATATGTAGGGTCTGATCTAAGAGGTTCAATCAGCGAGTCGAGTGACTGTTGAAATGGCGGCCATGGGTGCGCTGTTCTGTTTTGCACTTTGGATTTCTGGGAATCCCAGTCTCAGTCAAAAACAACATATTCTGTAGAAATTTTTTAAGGGTTGATAAGTAGTTGAATAATTTGATTTAAATAAAATTTCTGTAGATTTTTGAGTTTAAGAAGGATTCAACAGCTTCCTAGGAGCGTGCATGAAACCTCACTTTTCCACATCCACAAGCATTTAGATCATGAAATTACCCCTTTTCCGCATTACTGGTCCGTACTAGTGCGGAAAAGTAGAGTTCCTAATATTGTTAGGTATACAGGTACTTACAGGTTACAGGTAGGTATACTACAAACAGGTACGGAAAATTAAAAAAAAAAAGAATATCCTTATAGTAATTGGTAAATATTATATAGGTACAAATATTAACTTTTATCTCGTAGAAAAAATAGTCTTCCTAACTCGTGTGGAATGTCTCTTTTCCTCACTCCATTGCTTGTTGCAATCTCGAGCGGAAGAGTGACAGTTTCCGCACTGGTCAGGAAATATATAGGTACTATATTTGACACCAAAAATATATCTATAGCTATTTTATGTCGCCTTTGGCTAAGCACCCATACAGATTTTGGAAAGCCGGCGCCTATGATAGTGACCGATCGATCAATCACTTAAAATTGGCTAATGCTTCCATGATGGCTATCTTATTTGACTTCACGATTCTGTAAACAAACCTGTCAATAGGAAACATGCAAGGACTAGGACTATTCACCCCTTAGAGATGCACCCTGATAAATGCATACCACACAGATTTAATTTGAAAAAAACTTAGGCTTCCGATGGGGTTAATATGATTTATTAAAATATACTAGTTAATACATTTTCAATGATTATAGGTATTTATATTATTGTGAAAAAGATAACATATTAACACATTAAAGCAATTAATATTTGAAGAAATCATTGAAGTGGTCTCTTCATGGAAACTGGAAGGATCTGAGAAAAAAAAAATACAAAACCTAAATATTGCGACTCTCTTGAACTATAATTTCAAAAATTAAAAATTACAATTTTGTGTATAACTTAAACATAAATTATATTAGTTTTTGTTGATTTAGCAATTGGTTCCCTGTGGAACATGATTATATAATAGTTGGAGAATATCTAATAGAAAATTATAGCTAGACCAAAATTAAAATTGTGATTAACATGAATTAAAGACAGGCCTAACAACGAGCCTAACAAGTCAAAATATTTGTACGTTTTTTTTTCAGGAAACTACTAATAATTTTCTTACCGCTACCTCCTATTTCTTGCTTTCAGCACTTCTGGAATGACCGTATTCAGGATTGTTCGGATTCTTTTGGTTACTGCGATTATCCAAATCACCCTGGGTCGGTGGATTGCCAGTTGAGCCAGAAGTCGACCTGTTTAAGGAAAAATAAATGAGAACATTTTAAATAAAACTATTGAAATAAAAATCGTTTACCAGTCACTTGGACGTCCGTCCATGCCTCTGCTTGAATAGTATTTCTCGTTGTTGGTGTTTAATTGATCGGCGCGGTTGTCCAAATTTTTTTGGTTTTCAGACATCTTTATTTCTGTTTTATAAACAATTTAACTCGAAACTCAACAAAGATAATGTTGGAAATTAAGGCTTCCACGAGTATTTATGGGATAGACTGAATGGAAGGGGCCACTTGTGTCAGTGGAAAACTTTGAATGTTGTATAAACCTTCTAGAAAATCGTATCGTCTTTGTTGTACTCATTGATAATTTTCAGTTACAGCCTGAAAGCGATCGCAATTCTTCAAGCTTGATAAGTGCATTTCTCGGTGATTCCCCAACTTTCGAAACGGTTTACCGCGAATTTTTTTGCTGACACGTAGGTGTGGAAGAAAAGCAGCTCTTGACCTTGTTGTTGTTGTTATTATGCACTTTTGGTAATAATAATAAACAACGATAACATATTATAGTTAGCGAAATTGTTGCTTAATTTTTCAATGAAATTTTAACTAAAATGTACTAGAAAATTTCTTTAGTAAATGTTAGAAGGGATCAAGGAGAACTTTTTGAATTAATAATCCTTTATTTAGCAAATACACGCCATTACAAGTTGTCTTCTGTTTGTCAAGTAACTACAAAACCACTATTGTCCCAAAGGTCGTTAGAGATCCAAAAATACTGCGATTATACTTTGATTGCTGTCGAAACTATTTTTCCATTCATCCAGAACAAACTGGATTGCCGTTTCACAACTGTGTCCTTTTCGGAACTCAGATTGATGTTCAGTAATTAAGTTACAGTCGACTAGGTACCTATACACAAAAATCAAGGACCGGAAAAGTATTGATTGCGCGATAATTTTGTGCTTCAACATAGTTAGATTTCGTCTCTACAGGGATAATTGTAGAAAGCTGTAATGAATCCGGGAAAACACCCTGCTCCAATGAAGAATTTATCAGATTTATGAGTGGAAGTTCGATAACAGAATGCACGTGTTTAAAGAAGCCAACATCAACATCATCAGATTTTTTTTTGCTCATTTACTGGTTATATGTGCAACTTTGAACAAAAAGTACCTACGTCTGAATGGTTCTATTTGATTATTTATAATTCAAGAGTTATTATTGTTAAATGCAAACTTTAACATAATTAAGACTATGTTGGATATATTTTGATTTAAGAGAACTGAAAAATCACCAACTTCTTATATGTATAGGTAAGTATATTGAAATTAATTAAACAGTGTAGGCACGTGATCAAAATTAATGACATAAGCACGTCGCAATGTTGCCGCTATTAACTTTCGTTTTACTTTGACATACCATGTCTAGTAAAATTTGTTATCACTAAAGCAAACAAACATCGTTTTTTATATGTATGTATAGATAGTGTATTATGAACACAATCTAAAAAAACTACTCACTTTTCGTCGTAATAGAGCTAACATCAAGGTGATCTTGATTCGTAACCCGCTTCTTATGTGGACGTTTTTTCTTTGGTGAATTTAACGCTAAATTATCCCTAACTTTTTGAGACATTTAACATTGGATTTTACTCACAGTGGTTATACCAATATTCAGTGCAGCTGCAACACGCTGGAAAAATATTCCCAATTAAAGCCCCAGAAGATTTATATTTGATAGTATCAATATTGTCACAACTACCCGCTTTACGGGGGTGACATGGGGGGTTTGTAGCTTTGGGGGTAGATGGAGAGAAACTCGCTCAGGTTATATAAAAATATATGCTATATATTTTCCCAAATATAACCTTACATGTATGCTAATCCTATAAGATACATGACCCTTCGTACACTGGGGTCCTTATAGGGGGGCACACGTCAATTCTGCTTGGGGGACTGTAGATAAGTTTATCGTCACCCTTATGCCTTGTCCAGAGGGGCGTTCCCAACGAGAGGTAATTGCACTGGACAACGATAAGGCTGAAGATACCCAGAGGGGCTTTTCCAACGAGAGGTACTTGCACTGGTTTAAGTCTGCCTTTGCTGCGGCTTGCAGCGCAATTTATATCAATTTATTGCTGAATTGCAATTAACATCCGACCGCATCGGCAATTAAATTAATAAGGTTGAATACCGGGTCCTCCTTTCCTAAGCAGCTAGTTCACATATGCCCCCCCTCCATGAAGCATTGGACCCCAATGCTTGGAAGAGACACTTACAACAAAATGTATACAAATACCATAATAATGTCAAAAAAAAATACAATAATATCCTTATCCTAAAAATATCCCTTCTTTACAATAATAGCCTAATTATAAAATATCCCTGATGCTTAACAATTAAGTATATAATCCAAATATCGCGTATAGAGAAAAAAATTAAAAATAAAAATTAAAATTAACAAAAGTTTTTTATGGTGGGATGGGTGATGGTGCATTATTATTCAGGTTACTACAAAAAAAAAAAATAGCTTACAACTAAGAAATTTCATCAACTTCACCGCTTCAGCCATGGGTTTTTTCTTTTGGTCCGGTCCTGTTTTCTGTATTGTGGGTCTGTTCTGGTTCCAAATACTTCTTGGTAGGTCAGCTAGATCGTGGGGTGATATCGATCCCACGGTCTAAGTGTCGTTTCCTGGTTTGTTATGCTTCTTTCTTGTTCGTTGTGCTGTATTCTGTCTTTCAAGTGGATTGGTTTTGGCTCCAAGTACTTCCTGGCGATTTGGTCAGCTAGATCGTGGGGTGTACGGTCCCACGGTCTAAGTGTCGTTTCCTGGTTTGTTGTGCTTCTTTCTTGTTCATTGGTCCATACCCATTTGTTTCTTCTGGTTTGAAGTTCCTAGCCCCTGCTCAGTCCAGAGCTAGGTCCTTCTATTACAATGCCTTCCCTCGAATTTCTTTTGTAGTCCGTCCCTGGTTGGTGGTTTTGTATATACATGCAAAAAATAAAATAATATTTAAAAAAAAAATGTGCTTATTCCTATGATTACATAGTTTAATTATGACCCACATTTGGGCCACCAAATTTCATAATTTGGTTATTTGTTGATCATGGCTCCAACAGGTAAGTTTAGTCCAACTTATTTTTTGTATACCCATATGCCTTCTTTTTGCAGCTCGTACTTTTCTAAAATCCCTTCGGCGGCTTCTTCCGTCGATAAGAATGTTTCTGATTCTTCTTCTTTCATAGTAATTCATATTCTCTATCTTCCCCTAGAATTATGAGGTCATCCACTAGTTTCCTTCCTTCCTTATATTGAGCTGTCATTCCTCTCCATCCCTCCTTGTCTACTCTATTTAATCTCCTACTCTATTTTTTCATCCTATCTCTACTTTCTATTTCCCTACTTCATAATTTTGCTTATGTTTTATCTGTATAATCAGTCTTCTTCTTCCTCGTTTTCTGCTTCACTGCTTCCAATTTCTTCTTCAATTTTTTCTTCGTCTTCTTCATTCTCATCAACTTCAGATTCTGCGTTTTCAGCTATATCTGTCTCATCTGCCCTTTCTTCAATAGGCGCAGCTTCTGTCCATGGATCGTAGTAGGGTAACATCCTACTCACGTGGACCGTATCCTTTTTTCTGCTTCCAATCTTTTGTACCTCGGAATTCACTTCTCCCATTTTTCTAATTACTTTGTATGGTCCAAACCATCTTAAGAGTAACTTTTCACTTCTTCCAACCTTTCTGATTGGGATAAATACTTTAACTTTGTCTGCAGCTTCAAAGTCCAATTCTCTATGTCTTTCATCAAAACGACCTTTATCTTTCCCTTGTCTTTTCTGTATATTTTTCACTGCTATGGCTCTTATTAAGAGTGCGTTTTCTCTAATTTGCTAAGCGTCCGTTTCGTTGTCAGCGTCCAACAATGCAGCTTCTGCTGGTAGTGTGGGTTCCCTTGCATATGTTAACATAAATGGGCTAAATCTCGTTGTGTCCTGTATTGCTGTATTATACGCAAATGTTATAAATGGATAGCTACACCGTCCGGCATATTCATTTTTTGCCAACGCAACTGATATTCGGCTAGATTCGTGCCCTGCGCCATGAAGCGTTGGCAGAATATGAGCATCGCAACCAGACGTTGGCACTTCATGTGACTGTATGTTACAAGCATTTTATTGATAATTAAGTCCGATATATGTTTTTCATTCAAAGGAAGGGAAGATAAAAGATAAGAATTTTATTTACATGAAAACAATGAATGGCATAATATTGTGGTAGATAGAACTACCGATGTCTTTGGAACTAGGTACCCGATGGAAACTAATTATTTTATAGAGTGTGAGCTAAAAAAAATTAAATAAGAAAATGCAAAAGGTGAAAATTGAGAAATGTCGAAAATGCAAAATATCGAAAATATGAAAAGTTCAAAATACAATAGTTATTTATGCAACAAGTGTGTAAAGTGAACCTTTTTTCACGAATGTGAATTTTGACGCTCGAGCCGAAGGCGAGTGCGACAATCACATGAGTGAAAAAAGGTGCTTTACGCACGTATTGCATACAAAATTTTTTCTACTACCAATCAAATATGTGTAAAAAAATAAATTTAGACAAATACTTTATGCACTAGTGCGTGAAGAATTTTAACTTTACGCACTAGTGCGTGAAGTAATTTACCAGAAAAATGCCAAATTGACAGTGTTGACATCTGTCACTGACATTACTTTACGCACTAGTGTGTGAAGTGAATAACTTTACGCACTAGTGCGTGAAGTGAAATTTTACGTCTTCTGAATAGTGCGTAAAGTGAGTACTTTACCCACGGTAGTAGAAAAAAAGATCTTTTTTTCTCTTCTTGTTGTAAAATAAATGTTCAGCTGAACTGTGTTTCTGTCGCACACCGTCAGAGAAACCAACTTCATTAACTCATAATAGTTATTTATGATATAAGTGCTAAAAGTGACATTTTATTTTGTGAAAAGGGAAGTTTGGGACACGACGCCAAAGGCGGAGTGTTCCATCCCTTTGAACAAAATAAAATCACTTTTAGCACGAATATCATACACTATTTTTTCTACAAACGCACTAAAAGTGATTACTTTTAGCACTAGTGCTAAAAGTAATCACTTTTAACACCAGTGTCATAAAATGGATTTTAGACACTGACAGCATCCGTTAAAAATGACACTTTTAGTGACGTTTGTAGAAAATACCTATTTATTCAAAATTTAATAATACATACATGCGCTCTATTTTTTATACGCGCTATTTTCTCGCTAT